TCAGATATGGACTTTGGACCACTGGTTGTCCTTTCATTTTGTTCCAGCTTTCTAAGAGGAGTTCAAATGCAAACTTCTGTGATTAGAATTTCTCATTAACTTCTCTTAGATGGCTCTGTGGTCAGCACATAGCCTTTTTCACTCTCTGAGATGCATACTTTGGCAATGTACATGGAGCTTGGCAACCCAAAGTTGCATTTTGTATTCTATTTCAGATTCAGGAACTTAAAATATAGGAAGTAAGTGTAATTTGCAGATATCAGAGAGGTCTGTCATTAAACATTGGAACACAGTGATGATATCAAGACTAAAATGACTAAGCTAGTTTCAGAGATATAAATAATATAGTTGCATTTGTATGGTTAGGTTGCCCTCAGGATCCTTGATGGATGGTATCACTATGCTCTGCTGGATGCAGCTGAACTCATCACTGCTACAGATCTCCAGTTCTCTAAGGCATTTTCTAAAGAAGCAGGGGAAAAGATTTATCCAAACATTATAAGTTCAGCTTGCTTAATGCTCGAGTCATAAGAACTCTGAAGCATCACTATCCCAATTCAAAAATGCACTCAGGCAGGAAAGTTGGCACCAGTCAGGTAGGATGAAATCACATAATTATGGCGTGCTTAAGTGCTTAGCTAAATCACGACACTTTTCCGGGGTTTTGACCCAATATGGTCAATATGTGTATACATTATGACAGAGGAACAACAGCCTACTGAGAACGGTGGAAAATGAAGTTTGAAAGAGATTGCTAGTCACTGCACCTCTAATTAAGAAAGAAATTTCAGGCTATCTAAAAGACTGTAAACTTATTTTTCAGCCTCTATATTTGAAAGTGATTTTAAGATATGCCCATCAACAGCATTTTAAATATAAATACTTATTTTTCATTTACCATGTAAAAGCTAGATTTAAAAAGTGAGAGCAATTTCATTCTGAAATTTGTTGTCATTTGGATGTCTCATGGCAGGTAGGTCTCTTGGATGGACAGACAGCTGCCAAGACAGCTCTCATCATCTTCAACACTGGGATGATGATTTGGCTTTCAAAGGACTATAACTGCCATAGGAGATCAAGACAATATAACACAAGGTGAATCTTGCAGGTAGCTGGAATCCGTTATATGATGAATTTCAAAAGTTTAGGCAAGCCTTGAAACTTTACTATGTGTTCAGTAGCAAGCAGGTCATTAATGTAATGAACTCTTGGTGTTCTTGTAACAGCAGGTGTTGACCTGTCATTTAAGGCTTATTCTTCATAGGCCATAACATAGTACTCGCTGTCAGATAGCGTTGGTCATTACATCACTGGCATATGATCATCACTACAGACAGGATAAGATAAGAGTAGAAACAGTATAAAGCATATACAAGTGAACATTAAAATCTATTTATATCATCTTAGTTTTAGCTGGGGTAACTATGTTAGATGATCAGAAAATATATTGAATGTACAAGGCAAAGATGAGCTTCGACTTTTCACTGACAAAAAGAGCCAACAGAAGCAAATTCACTGCAAAGTGGCCAACAGACACCATTTTTATTTTACTCTGTGAATTCCATGAAATAAAATTCTGTGAACTTTATTCCCATATGAAAAAAAGCACTTTAATAAGAGAAAACATGAGACCAAGCATGATGTTATCCAGAAACTTGCACTAAGTGACTAGTTAACACCGGCTTCTGAGAGTTTTATCTGAATAGAAATTTCAAGACAGTTCTGTCAAACAGAATACACAATACTTAAACTATCTAAGGCAAGCAGTATCTACAGTATCTATAGCAAACAGCTGAGCATAGTGCAGGGAAGCCCAGACTGGTGTAGGCTGTGTTACTTCTGAAATGAACTATCACTCTAAACTAGCCAGAGGAGCACAAGATGACAGCCTAGTCTTGCAGAGAGGATTGCCTCTCAGCTAGGTTTACTGGGTTGGGTATGGTGTTGCACGTGACACTGAATCTTAGCATAAAAGTTAGTATCTCCATTTAGCCTTTTGCTGTAATATATAGACATAGTTTTGTTTGACACATACTCATGCATCTCTACAATGCAATGTTGACCAGTGTAAAGATTCCATATGAATGTTTAATAGAAACACAGGTCCAACAGGTTTCCAAGAGAGACACAGCTCTAAGGTCCCAGAGAGTGTGCTGAGTCATGGTAGAGTATGCCTAACCAAATTATGAAAGGAAAGCTTTTATACATAAGAGATCTTAATTCAATCAGAAACTCATACAGCTAATCTCTCTACAGAAACTGCCCACCATCTGTATTTGTTGCCAAATGCTATAAAAACCCTGTAAAGGTTTTCCAAAAGGTTGGACTTCAGATAGAAGGCTTTACCCTGAAGGACTGCTAAGGAATAGATGTACATTTCAGTGAAGAAGACATGAAGCTTAGATTTAAAAAAGAGAATAAGTTGGTATAAAACTTGGCTGGACTCTAGGGTGTGGCTCAGATTTTGTCCAATAATATATTCATTAGTCTAAGTATTTTTAGATGCAGAAAAACTGCTAAAAGGTACCAACTGACATGCACTCAGAAGCTGGAATGCTACCAGACACTGACATTGACTTAATTTTTTTCTTCTAGAGGGAGCTTCAGAAACTAATTAATTCTTTATAGATTTCTTAAAGAAAAAAACTTTTTTGTCAAGGTTTTCCAACTGTCCAAAATGTGTTAGAAAATATTTATAAATAGCAACAACATATAATTCCTTCAAACAGAACAGAACATTTAGTATGCTATCTGGTAAATCACTTGCACAAATTCTAAAGGATTAAAACCCAGAGAAAACCAGAAGACCGAGAGGCGATAAAAGGTTTATTGTTTATTTTGATTGTCCTTCTCAATACCTTTTTTAATACCAATGGTAGGGAATCAATTACAATAACCTACATTAGGTTAATGGTTGGACTAGATGATCTTCAAGGTCTTTTCCAACCTAGATGATTCTGTGATTCTGTGAAAGTCAGTGAACTAATTGTTTGTCCTAAAGATTTTAGTTATCAATAGTGGACTATGAGAGATGAGTAAGTACCTGGAATAGGAAAGTATCTGTGAAGCTTGAGATTTTATGTCTCCTCTTTGGCACTAAATAAATTAAGGACAGAATTCCAAAAGCCAACGTGAATTCACTCGGAACTGATCCAATAGGAGGAATTGAATTTGTCAGAACAAATACAGATGGTCTACATGTGAGCTGGCTACCCCAGACCTGCTTTGTTCTCAGTGGTGAGAAGTCAACACTTTTAATGTATGATTGATCTTATTATACAGGGGACATCAACAATAGGTTAAATGAATCTCTCCAGGTATACAATAGGTGTCCAAGGTTAGATGAGATTAAACACACCCTTTGTGTTTCTGTAATTATTAAGAGTCATATAATAGATTCAACAGGAAGTTACTTCCAAGCACCAGGTTCCTGAAGCTTAAAAGAAGAGTCAGCAGAATCATTATGTAATGATTTTGTAGACACACCATGACACTTCTGTCTGATAAAAATATTTGCCTGTAATATTTCATTAAATTTAAAGTTACTGTGTAGCAACTATAAGAGGTTGATGGCTGCCAAGAGCTGTGAGGTTGCTGAATAGAATGGTATTTCTGGAGTCTTGCCCAGAGTTGAGACAAAATGTGACTCATCTTCATGCATACATTTGCAATATACCTCCAAACTAAAATAAGGATTTAACTCCATCACGAGGTTCTAGTGATATCATGTTAGTGCTGAGAATTTATTATAGTATCAGTGCTTCTAAGCAACTCTAAAAAAAAAAAAAAGGTGGTCTTTCTGTAGCTATAATCATTGCATGTTTGTGACCTCAAGTTGTGTTCTCCCAGAATGCACAGGCTCAAGCGCTGATTGAGTTGTTGGTAGCAGGACACTTATAATTTGAGCTCCATTTTGTTTCTTTGTACTGCTTCAAAGTATATTAGCAAATATTGCAGTGAGTAGGAAATACTGTGGTTGGGAAGGCTATGCCTGCAAAAATTTAGAAACTGTAGGATAGGAATTGAGCTAGATCAGGATTGATGAATTCACATCTATTTTTGCTTTCATTTGCAGCTAACAATCTTCCAACAAAAATGGAGATAAAATATTAAAAGAGAGAAACAAAGAGAAAATGTGAAAATTGCCTGACATTTACATGACATCATCCTGTTCAATTTGCTTATATGTTATAGCATTTTATTCAACCTTTTGCTGACCTATCTGTTCAAACTGTAAGCTGCTTGACCTCTATCCTGTCACTTATTGAATGATCATGCACTTTTGAGTACAAGGGGAGACAAAAGTCTTAAGTAAGATTTTTAGGCACCATGATACAAACAGTAATAAGAAATACGTTCAAACAGTTAGGTAACTAATATTCCATCTTTTTTGACAGTTAATCTTTTAATCTGCATGCTGAAGAGCATCAGTAAAAAATATGGGAATGAAGAAATCTCTTTTTTAATTACTGAAGTACCACTTTTTACAAGTATCACATCATCCCTACGAGTTCAAAGGAATCCCATGAGTTCTAGTCTCTCTGTTGTACATATGTAATTTGATTCCAATACTTCTGCTGGATAACCAAGCAGATTTCAAAAATGCTTGTACTTTTACTGAGAAAAGTCGTTCTGCAATTTTTCATACGGATAATCTACTTCACTTCCTCTGGATTTTTGAAAAGAATTGGTGAACAATACAGTGAGGAAGTTATCAGCATGCACTGTTCACAATATGTTATTACACGAGCTTTAGTCACAACGCTCATACTGGTCAGTTGGATTGCAGCATTTTGACATATGGTAATTACCACAGTGGAGAAGAAAAGGCTCAGAAAGACAGAAAGGCATTATAATTCAGTGTTAAAACAGTATAAACAATATATACTGTAGTAAAAAACTGGGTTTTGTTATCACTACAGAGTAATATAATAGTTCAAGTTATTCTTACTATCTTGTCTAAATACTATTTAAAAAAAAATTGCAACATTTTCTCTTACCACTGAGAAGCCAGTGTGGAAAAGATATCAGTGTCTTCAGGTTCTTGGAACAGTTTCAGAAGTTCTGGTTCAGATGACAAATCAGCAAGGATCCTTAACTCAATATGGGAAAAATCTAGAAAACAGAGTGTTAAAATCAATCTAGTGCTCTAACATGAAAGCATACCTGCATTTTAAACAAACTATCACAAATTAAAAAGCAAATTAAAAAGCAAGCCTGGACTGTTCAGTCATTTCCTCATGCTCAAAAAAACAGATGCCTGTAAAAAACTCATACTGAATAAGTTATATTCCAGCTACAGATCACAAGGTGTCTGATACCTTCATTATCTTCAGGTGTCAATTAATCTTACTAGCTTTTTGTTTCTACTGACACTGCTTACATATCATCCACTTCCAAGGCACACTAAGAAGTATACATCATATAACAGTATTAACTGATACTAAGGGATTTGACAGACTTGTAAAATATCCAAAGGAGAGGGGACAAAGAAATGACAAAAATGCAAACATTAATATGTATGAGAATAATAATTATTACTATCTTACCTGCTGCTAAAAATGTGTATCCTTGTTTTGAAACAAACAATGTTCTTGGGGAAATAGTTATAATTTCCTCTTCTTTTCCTAGAGAGGAGACAGACATTTAAGTCCAAAAATATTGTGTTGCAAACCATAAAAGGTTGTAAACAACATACCAAACACACAACTAAAACCACACAAATGGCAACATAAGCAACCTACCAGAGCACTATCAGCATCACAATTATTTTACTCTATTAGTCACATACAACATCTTTATCTGCCATCCCTGAAGTGCCACTTAGTTCTCCTTTTTCAAAATCAAACCCTTCCTAAAACACTAGCTAACAAATATCTGCAATGACTAACATTATTCACAGATCACTTAGAAATACTTTTATGAGAAGCATATATTGTAAGATCAGTAACAAAACTGATTGGCCTATGTGCCACAGTTATGCACAGCAGCTCAGGTTTACACAGCCACTGTTCACACATTTATTTTTTTATAGCAACTTTTAAAAAGTAATTATAAAAATGAATCAGGTAGATAAAATAAAACTGCTGTCAAAGTTTTACATTGTCTTCAACAGACTCCTGTTTTATGATCTGTATTATTTCAAATGCATGGAGTGAATAGCTGTGAAAAGGCAAGCCTGCCCTTAACTGGGAACCAAGTGCAACAAATGAGAAGCATTTCCCAGCTATGGCTGTAGGTATTCAAGGAAAGTTTATGTTGGCAAATCTCTCTCTTATTTTTGAGTCTACTACTGTAGACTCTCTTTATCATTTGGGTCATGCTTTTCTAGACTTGGATTCTCTCTGAATCATCTGCTTTAAATCTGCTTCTGTTATCACAAACAACACATCTGACTATTGGTGTTAGCTACGAGTTTCACAAAAATGACCCAGTTTTAACATCTCAGAAAAAGCCTTATGAGCTGAATGCGCACAAAATCTTCCCTAGGATATTTAATGGAGTTAAGATGCATAATTTCAGCTGGAAAAAGGAACAGTGAGATAGTCAAGGGAAAAAAAAAATCTAGAAGTTTGTGACTATTTAGATGAGCGGTGAAACAGCAAATTTTTTTCAGGAACAACCAGCAAAAAGTAATTGGTTTAAATCACAATGTGTAATTAAGCATCAATAATCTATTCTATCCTTTAATGCTGGAGCTATTGATCTGCTTTAAAATATAACAGTAAAATAATTAGATAAAATTGCCTCTTCATGTTAATGAAAATATATTTTACCTTTTATGTACTGCTTTTTTGTAATTCTAACTGGATGTTTAGAGATACCTTGAATATTCTACAAATAAGAATAAAAATCCTTAGTAAGTTAAAGTTTATGAAAATATGAACAGTTTATAAGCAGCATAAGAACATGAGTGATGCTAATGCCAACAAGTTTTTCCCATATAATAAATAAGATTAACCACTTCGCCTTTCAAAGGAATCTTCACACTTCTGTAATGATAGATACTTCTGAATATTTGCTCTTCCTAGAAAAGTGGAAGCTTGTAAGAACAAATTCTCACTGGAAGCCTTTCCAAATCCTAATTTCTGGATGCATCATAGAACATAATTAGCGATCCAACGAAAATAATTTTCTTCTTATTTTAACCTTTATTTTTCAGATATTGTACATCACTTCCAAGAAAAGAATACACGTGAACACTGCCTTAAGCTAAAGGGAAGATTCTTCTTCAGCCTCAGAATTTCTAAATTCTTCTAATATTTAGAAGCCTTCCAAGTAACAGCTTTAAATCTGAAAGAGCGTAGATTCAGATCACATATAAGGAAGAAATTCTTTAATATGAGGGTGGTAAGACACTGGCAGAGGTTGCCCAGAGAAGCTGTGGCTGCCCCCTCCCTGGCAGTGCTCAAGGCCAGGTTGGACGGGGCTTTGAGCAACCTGGGCTGGTGGAAGGTGTCCCTGCCCGTGGCAGGGGGTTGGAACTAGATGATCTTTAAGGTCCCTTCCAAACCAAACCATTCTGTGATCTATTCCCACCTTCTTTGAAATGCATGATAAAATAAAGAAGGAGCTTTTTATTAACTACAGCACATCAGTTAAGGTTAAAAGTGAGAACTAAGTTTATCAATAAACATGCAGGACTAGGAATAATAGATTTTTCTCTAAAGATCTGGGTTCATACACCTCCAGTAAAGTTTGAAACATGACACATGATAGCTTCCTTCTGTTATTTAATGTCATTATGCCTCTTCATCTAGAAAGGTAACACATGACAAGAGATAATGTGTATCAAGCTCAATTTTCATAATTCTACGCAATTAATTTGCAAGTGGTTCAGGAATTAGATGAACACACTAATATTATGTAATACTGTGAATTCAGAAGATGGGAATAGTGATATATAATTTCCAAATCAGAATGATAATTTTCTATGTAATTTTGAAATCAAAATTGTTATTTTAAACTTGAGGGATGTGATCAGACTGCAAAAGCTGTTGAAATTTAAAGCAGAAGATTAAACCCCGCAAACCAGAACTGTATCATTTCTAGTCTTAGTACCACCTTTAAAGATCTACAATTAAACGTATTAAAGTTGAACACCTGCCACAGCACCATACACAAATAGAAATTACTATACAATATACATAATATTTTCACAACATGGGTAAACTAGGAACACTGCTCTCAATCCATCAATACAAAGTTTGACCCAGAAGAAACATTTGCCACCTTTAATATTTTATTTTTCAGTTTCTAGAAACATTTAAAAATAGTTGTAGCAATGCTTATTGTAATGCTATTAACCATATTTTGAAATAAGTGGTTATTTAACCTGTGCACAAAACTGATGTTTCTATTGATAACTATTGATTTCTACTGATAACCAGTTGGAAAGCATCAGTGCTTGTTCATATGAATAATATGCAGTTTAAGTAGCCATGGAAGCTAATATATCCTCACACGTTTTGAAAATGAAGTCCTTATATTAAGTACCTGGACATGAATGTGGGAGCCTAATTTTACACATTTAAAAAACAAAATCACAACATTTTAGTTAATTGTATGGACTTTTCATTGGGCTCTGTACTGATATTGACACATACTTAATAAGATAACCTCCAGCCCAGGTTAAAGAGTTGTTTACAGTTACTCTCACTAATTATTGTTCCTTAACTCATTAGCTTCAAAAACCTGAACAAAGTTAAATAAATATTTATTTCAAAATCTATCTAGAATGGTAAAAATAAATCACTATATTGCCATCTTGTTTCCACTTGACAGCATATGCAGAAAGTCTGCTTCTAATGCAAATTTAGAAGTGTTACTAATAATTCTGAAAAACACTAGTAAATAATTGCAAGTGCAAAATGTACTTTAACTTGTAAATTAGTTAACTCATAATTTGAATAAATCTTCAGAGAAGTAACTCAGGAAACATGAAAGTGGTAGTGCTCATCTTTAAGCTATTGGAACAGCTTAATAGATTCCTCTCATCTGAACTTAGACATCTTTAGGCTAGTCGTTAGTCTAAACTAGCTGTCTAGAATCCCCCTATAGTCTGCAGACAAAGACAAGAATCTTCAGTGGGTAGTTCAATCTATCTGTTGTATATGACACATTTACAACAAAGTGACCTAAGATTTCCCTGGAGATGATGCTTTCTAGGATTTAGACTATCCAATCTGATGAGATAAATTTACTTTAGATATTTAGAAGGATGAAGAAATAAGGAGACAATCTCAGAACAGTCTTCCGAATAGAAAGCTTTTCTCTGCTTGAGTTGAAAATTAGGTGACATTTTTATTGTATCAAAAGTGGAAGTCTATTTCGCTTTGGTAAATGACTATTACCAACTTGGACTACATAATACAGTCTGTATTTTTGCTTTCATGTATTTATTTCAAGTATACTTTTGTAAAACCTTCACAGATCCAATCTGAGATGTGACTGTTATCCCTTACTGTTAGAGAAGGGCATCCACATGTTGTTAGTTACAGAGGAACAAATTTGCTCTCTCTGAACAATTACGCTCCAACAGACAAGAAGGAATATACTTGAAACAGTGTGATGGAAAATCTGGTTGTGAAAGTTAAATATTAATACTTCTCTTTATTGTTTCGAGGGGGGGGGGAATCTAGTTATTCTAGTGGACGATTAACAAGAAAACCCTGCCATAGGTTAAAAAAAAAAAACATATTAACAAACAACACCATAATCCAAAATACATTTCCAGATGTTCCAATGGACAGAAGGATAGATGAAGCCAAGGTCCCAGTTTCAGTTATGTTTGAAAGGCTGTGATGATCAGGGGAGGTTTGTGAGTGCTGGAAGAAAGCAAGTGTTGCTCCTTTTTTCCAGGAGGGCAAGAAGGAGGATGCATAAAACTACAGGCCAATCAGCCTATCCTCAATTGCTGGGAAGGTGATGCAGCAAATAATCTTGCAAATAATCTTGGAAAACATTTGCAAATATTAAAGTCAGGAAGATGATCTGGGCTAGTCAGCATGGATTTACAAAGGGGAAATCGTGCTTAACCTACAATAGTCTTCTGCGATGAAGTGACTAGCTCATTGAATGGAGAGCAGCAGATGTTGTTTACCTTGACTTTAGCAAGGCTTTCAAAACAATCTCTCATAAAAGCCTCATAGAGAAGCTGATGAAGTACAAGCTAGATAAGTGGACAGTGAGGTGGACTGAAAACTGGCTGAACTGCCAGGTTCAAAGTGTTATGAGTGACACAAAGATCAGCTGGAGGCCAGGCACTAGTGGAGTGCCCCAGTGACCGATACTGCTCAACACCTCCATTAATGACCTGGGTAACAGGACTGAGCACAACTCAGTAAAATGGCAGACAATCCAAAACTGGGAGGAGTGCCTGATATACCAGATGGCTGGTCTGTGATTCAGAGGGACCTCAAGAGTCAGGAAAAATGGGCTATCAGGATCTCATAGGATTGACAGTCTCAAAAGCAGCTTTGCAGAAAAGGTCCTGTGGATCCTGGTGAAAAACAAGTTGAACATGAACCAGCAATGAACCTTTGAACCTAGGAAGGCCAACAGCATCCTGGGCTGCATCAGAAAGGTCATCACCAGCAGGTCAAGAGAGGTGATCCTTCCCCTCTGCTCAGGATACCTGGTGGGACGGTGTAAAGAATATGGGACAAGAATCTTCTCGCTGGTGCCCTATGACAAGAGGCAGTGGTCATAAGCAATTACAGGAAATTCCATTTAATCATAAGAAAAACTTTTCTGCTGTGACAGTGGTCAAACAATGGAACAGATCGCACAGAGAGGTTGTAAGGCTTCTATCCTTGGATATATTCAAACTCCAATCAGACATGGTACCAAGAAACCTGCTCTAGTGATTTGAGCAGGGAAGGTTTGACTAGACAATCTCTAGTGATCCCATCTAAACTCAACTATCTGGTGATTCTATGATTCTGATTTTATAACATTACTGTAGTTGATTACTCTATGTATCCCAGTGCCAATCCATTCCCTTCTCTACTTCATATGATTTCTGATTGAGATAGAATTGAAGCCTTCAGTGGTATGAGGCAGTGGAAAGACATAGAAAGACTCTGGTTTCATTCCCAAGCATTTTTTTAAGTAGTAGTATATACATATTTTTTATATATATATTATGTATAAAGTATACTTGTAGCATAACATTCAGATTTAAATATTAAAGACAAACAAATATTTTGCAGAAATTGTAGTCAGTTGGTGCATCATGTCTTAAAATGCAAGTTCTAAGAAAAAGAATTGTATTGTTTTGATTATGGAAAATAAATGCAAAAACGTACATCCAACCTGCAACACAATTAGTAAGAACTGCTTGACTGTATAAATGGAAATTTCAATTTTTTAAGGCTTTCATAAAATTGTAGAATCATTTAGGTTGGAAAAGATGTTTAGGATCATTGACGAAAATATCCTTAGGATTGAGTCCAACCATTAACCTAACACTGCCAAGTCCATCCCTAAACCATGACCCTAAGTGTCACATCTACACATCTTTTAAATACCTCCAGGGATGGAGACTCAATCACTTCCCCAGGCAGCCTGTTCCAGTGCCTGACAACCCTTTCAGGGAAGAAATTATTCCTAATATCCAATCTAAACCTCCCCTGGCAAAACTTGAGACTGTTTCCTCTTGCCCTGTTGCTCATTACTTGGAGAAGAGACTGACACCTCACTACAACCTCCTTTCAGGTAACTGTGGAGAACAATAAGAGCTCCCCTGAGCCTCCTCTTCTCCAGACTAAACACTCCCAGTTCCCTCAGATGCTCCTCACAGGACTTGTGCTCTGGACCCTTCACCATTTTCA